CCAGTGCTAGAGTAATGGACAAATACCTCCTCAGCTATCTTTTATGTGTGTACTGGGAATTTAAACTTAGGTCCTCATGCTTGCATAGCAAGCACTTTCAGCACTAAATGAGCTTTGAAAGCTATATCTGTGTTTCTTACTTTTAAGAATCCTATTTAAGTCTGTGAAGGCAGGGGCGGGGCCATGGCACATGCCTTTAATCCCAGTTTTTGGAAAGCAGAGACAGGTGAATCTCTATGAGTTCCAGGCCTGGTCTACAGAAAGAGTTCCAGGACAGCCAGAGCTATACAGAGAAACCCTGTTTCAAAAAACAAACAGAGCAAGTTCCAGGACAGGTTCCAAAACAATACAGAGAAACGCTGTCTCAAAAAACCAAAAAAGAAAAAGAAAAGAAAAACAAAGTAAAAAAAGAAACCTTTGCCTCCCATACTTGCAAAAATTTTTTCTTTCATCTAGAGTTTTTTTTGGGGGGGTGAAATAGGATTTGACCAGCAATTTACTATGTAGACCAGGCTACCCTCAAACCCATAGAGATTAGACTCAGGGTCTTGTGCATGATTAGCAAGCACTGGGCTGTTTCTTTAGCTAAGGTTCTCCATTTAATGCTAATTTCAAAGAATCAAGAGTTTTTCTCCTGCCGGGATTTGGTGGTGCACGCCTTTAATCCCAGCAGAGGCAGGCGGATCTCTGTGATTTCGAGGCCAGGCTGGACCGACAGCCTCCAAAACAATACAAAGAAACCCTGTCTCATAAAACCAAAAAAAAAAAAAAGAGTTTTTCTCCTAGTTTGTGCATTAAATTTTCTTCTTTGGTTAAGTTTGCTTTTATTTTCTTTTTGCTTTTGTTTTTTTGTTTGTTTGTTTGTTTGTTTTTTCGAGACAGGGTTTCTCTGTATTGTTTTGAAGGCTGTCCTGGAACTCTCTCTGTAGACCAGACTGGCCTCAAATTCACAGAGATCCTCCTGCCTCCTGAATGCTGGGATTAAAGGCATGTGCCACTAACGCCTGGCTGTTTGCTTTTCTTTTTAAGATATCTTTAACTGAATCCTTTTGTCTGTAATTTTGGGTCATGCTGAAGTGAGCAGTTTTGCATTCCCTCTCCCTGCTATTTGTACCGCAACCGAGGGATGGATGCATGTATCATAGTGCTCACTGTACAATATTTCCAGTTTCCTTTATATCATTTTTACCTGCAAATTATTTAGGAGCAGGTTATTACATTTCTAGATATGTGAATATTTTTGTTTTAGAATATCTTAGTATTCCGTTTCTTACTTGATTCTGATATGGTCAAAAACACATGGTGATTTTCTTCCCTTTAAATGTAAGTTTGTGACCTAAAATGTTGTAGAACTGTAATTTTTTCTCAGTTTTTCAAGACGGGTTTCTCTGTGTAACAGCCTTAGCTGTTCTGGAATTCTCTCTGTAGACCACGCTGGCATCTTACAGAGATCCTGCTTCTGCCTCCTGATTAAAAGTGCTCAGATTAAAGGTGTGTGCCACCATGCTCTCTGACTACTATAATTTTTTAAGCTTATGGAATTGCCTGCTTTTCTTAATTCTGTCAGTTTTTAGTATGTGTATTTTGAGACTCTATTATTAAATGTTGTAACAGATCATTATGTCTCTGAGTAATTTGACATTTTGTCATTTTATATCTGGCAGTACTCTTTGTCCTGAAGTCTGTTTTATCTGAAATTAAAATAGCCATCACATGTTTGCTGATTACTTAGTATAGTTTCATTGATTCATTTTTTAAGGTTTATTGTATTTAATTCTGTATATGTGTGCTACCTGTAAGTATATGCATGCGTATCCATAGTACAGTGTCATTGGTTGTCATTTTAAGGTTTACTGTATTTAATTCTGTGTGTGTGTGTGTGTGTGTGTGTGTATGCGCACACGCACACACATGTGTGAAGAGTCCAGGTGCTTGCTGAGAGCAGAGACTCTGAGCCCCTGGAGCTGGCTGCACAGGTGGCTGTGAGTCACCTGGTGTGGGTGCTGGGAATCACACTCAGGCCCTGTAGCGGGGAACGCACACTTTGAATCCTTTCTCGGGTGGGTCTTCCTATCGCAGTTAACCCAGTGAAGACAACACACGAGGGGGTGAGGGGGTGTCGCCAGGCCCAGAGGCTAATCTAATCTAGATAACCCTTCACAAGTAAACCAAAACTCTACCCATCAACTTGGAACTTAGATACATCAAAAAAAGTTTATTTTTTATTACATCTTTTTTTGTGTGTTATGTGTATGCTGTGTGGGTGTTCAGGTGCATGTGTGGAGGTCAGAGGTCAATTTGTAGGAGGAGTCAGTTTTCTCCACCACTTGGACCCTGAAAATCAAACTCAGGTAATCAGGGTTGATTTAATCTACACTTAACTTCTGCTATTTGTCTCCATAGGTTCATGGCTACTTCATAATGCAAAAATATATTCCCACGCCTTTAATCCCAGCACTTGGGAGGCAAAGGCAGGCGGATCTCTGAGTTCAAGGCCAGCCTGGTCTACAGAACGAGTTCTAGGACAGCTAGGGCTGTTATACAGAGAAACACTGTTATAAATAAATATATATATATATATATATATATATATATATATATATATATTCTGTCCAACTTTAAGAGTGCTCATGGTCTAACGTTCCAATACTTCTAAGTCTCTTCTGACATTCCAGGCAGTCTCTTAACTCTGAACTTCAGTATTACTCAAAACAAATTATATACTTAAAACAAAGCTGTACGAGTAAACATTCCCAGCTCAAAGAGAATAGGAGTGTAGCGATGATGAGACAAGACTGAAACCCAGCAGGGCAAACACCCAACTCCGTAGCTGTGTCCAGCATCCGGGTTCCAGAGGGCTTGAGTGGCCACACCCCTCGAGCTCTGTCCTTGTACTGCACAGCCTCTAACTGGAGCAGGCGCCTCCCACTCCATGCCTCACGCTTCCCTCATGGCCAGTCCTTTGGCCCTGGCATCTTCAGCATCCTGTGGTCTCCATTACTTCCCTGTCACAGCTTCATCTGGTCTTCTCAGGGCCCATTTTCCTGGAGTCTGGTCCTGCTGCACGTTGCTAACTTCAGGTTGGATCTTCAACTTTGATTAACTTAATCAGTGTAACCCTCACAGGCATGTCCAGGCTAAGCTAGTGTAGACAGTTCCTCAGGTGTGCCTTCATGGAGGCTTCAGATTGTAGATCCTGTTGAGTGAACAGAGTTAACTAACTCAGGATTTACAAAGGACTGAGGGTGGTTACAAAAGATGGCTCAGTGGTTAGTTAAAGTGCTTGCTGTGCAAATTTGAGGTTTGGAATTTGGATCCCCAGAAACCCATGGAAAGGTTGGATGAGCTTGGTGGCCCACCTGTAATTTCAACCTCCAAAGGTGGAGGAGACAGAGCAGGCTGACTAGCAAGAACAGCCACATGAGCTCATTCTGGGTTTGATTGGGAGACCCTGCCCCCCAGTGAATGAGGTGGAAAGGCAATTAAGGACTGTGTGTGACGTCAGTCTTCGGCCTCCATATGCATGCACCCACTTACATACAAAAACAAAACATGTGCTGCACACAGAAACTGGAAAAGGGAAAAATGGAGTTTATAAAATAGCAGACTTCCATATGGCATTTTCATACACCCTTAGTCTCCGTTAATCCCCTTTTCTTCCCTCTCCTGTCCCCCACCCATAGCTGACTTAAACCTTTCCACCCTCAGTAGCCTCTGTTTCTTCAGTCTTCAAATCCCAGTCTCCCTTTGGTAGCATTTTCTTCAGCTGGAGCGACTTGCTTACACATTTCTCACAGAACAGATCTACTGAAGACAAATTCTTAGTTCTTCTTCACCTGAAGAAATATTACTGTAGGAATGTCTTACTGAAGCTGGGATTCTGAATTGACAAATCTTCAAGATTTTAAAAAGTGTCAAATGACCCCCTGACTTCCTTGGTTGGGCATCCATGATCTTCTGAGTCACTGTTCCCTGGATTGTAAAACACTGCTTTTCTGAAGCTATGCGCTACATTTTTTAAAAAGACTTTGTCTTCAATAATTTCAGCAAGATATACATAGCTATGCTTTTCTTTGAGTTATCTTACCGTTAAGCTTCTTCACTCTTTCAATTTATGTATGTCACCAACTTTAGGGGATGGTAGGAGCATTCTTCCCGTCAGCCTGGTCCCAGAGCCGCATCAGTCCCAAATGAACACGCAGGACGCTATATTAATTATGAAGCTGTTGACTGTTTGCTATGATTTCTTCTTGACTAGCTCTGACTTAATTATTAACCCATAACTGCTTATCTGAGTATTTCCATGTGGTCATCTCTTTCCAGAGAAAGGGTCCAAACCTCTTACTCCTCTGGCATCCTACATGATAACTGATTGTTTCTCTGTTTCCCAGAATCCTCCACCTCTCCTAGTCCCACCTATCTTGCTTCCCTATTGGCCAACAGTGCTTTATTCACCAACCAGTAAGACAAACATATACACAGAAGGACTTCCCCTATCAAGGGGGTGAAAGATAGGGTTGTGTTGCGTGAGTACACAGGGCCCCTTATCAGTACTGCGAAGGGAGGCTGAGGGGAGGGTGGTTCACACTAGAATGCAGACTCTTCTTTTCCTCCGTGCTGAGAAGCCTTTTGATTATGGTCCTTCTATCAGACAGGACAGATAGGATACCTGTGGCTGTGCATCCAAGGAATGTGTGAGTGGTTGGTCACGTGCTCTGCACTCTGCCTGCTTCTTTTCTCAGAGTGGCAGAGCACACGCCTTACTGGGCTGCAGAGGGACTGTTTGTGCTGCTTGCTTACTCTGCCTGCCTGCACTGACTGTAAGAAGAATTGTGTATGCTGTGTTCAATTGACTTGTAATTGTTAGGGTATTATCACTGGTGTTCTGGTTTTGTGTCTTAATAGTTTTGCACAAGTTATTAACTTGGTTGTAGTTATAAGAAATGTTAATAAACTTCTCCAGCCTCTCCTCCGTGGTCCATACCTTTGTGTTGTGTCAGTAGCAGGACCCAGTGCTCCATAAAGGACAACAGCTTCCAGTACACCATCCCTCACGATGACTCTTTAAGTGGCTCATCATCTGCCTCCTCATGTGAGCCAGTGAGTGATTTCCCAGCATCCTTCCGAAAATCTACCTACTGGATGAAGATGAGAAGGATCAAGCCTGCTGCCACTTCACAAGTTGAAGGTATTCATTTCAGATTCCCAATTCTAAGACAGTGGTGTACTGTTTCAGTCCATGTGGTTCTTTGTCATTAGTGATTAGGCACAATTTTTTTAAGACAGGCTTTTACCGTGTAGCTCAGGTTGGTTTCAAATTCAGTGTCTAGCTCAAGCTAGAATCAAACTTATCATGATACTCCTGCATCAGTCTCCAGACTGTTGGACTTAAAAAACTTGTAGACAGATGCTAAGGAGTTAGGCTGTCATACACTGTTAACTTTATAACTATACCTTTGTCAATAGAATGAGTTTCTACCAATCCTGCTTACTACAACCTTCCTCTTCATGGGACTGTGAACCATTTGACCTTTTTCTTATTCTTCTGTTTCCCTCTGCTTTAGAGGATGTGGGGGCTGGGCAATGGATTGTCATGGTAGTGTATGCTTGACACAGTCAGTGTTTCATAGCTGTCTGTGTTGGGCTCTGCCGTTGCCCCAAATCATAGTCAAGAGAGACATTGTAGGCCCTTAAGCCTAAGGAAGAGTGGATGGTTTCTGAGGGAAGACAGTCTAAAAGAAGAGGAGCCTCTTTCAGGCCAGGTTTCCTCAGGCTGTTCTGTGAGGGTGTGTTTCCCGGTGACCCGTGCCTTTGGTGATCTATTGATGAGTTTTTGAAGACCAGCCCAAGTGTTCACTTGCAGACTTTTATTGTGTGGTGTCAGATGCAGGTACAAAGGAAAAGGAAAAGGCCAAAGGAAAAAGGAAAATCAAGCAGGAAGAAGATGAAGACTATCGAGAGCTCCCTCAGAAGAAGCACAAGCTGTATGGTAGGGCCCTGTGCTGTCTATCTATCCTTCTGTGGGAGACCCAGTGTCATCCTTTAAAGCCCGAGGGAAAGCGCCCTTGGTTTGGAGGCTTTGGAGCCCCTAGAATTTGAGTGAGGGGATGGTCTTCACCTGTATTCCTATACCGCTTCAGTCCTGTCTTAGGAGGTCAGATTCACGGGACCTGTGTGCTGAAGAGACAGGGAAGGGGTAGGTAAAGCTGACATGTCAGGCTTCAGGTTTCTGAGTTTCTGTCTCTCATCAGGGAGGAAGCAGCGGCCTAAAGCTCAGCCTCACCCCAAACCCCAGGCCCGCCGGGTTCGGAAGGAACCACCAGTTTATGCAGCAGGTATGCTTTCTCTTTGAATGTCTGCTGTCCCTGTACAAATGGTGTGCCAGATAGGCTCTCAGTTCCCCCTCCCTCCCTCCCTCCCTCCCTCCCTCCCTCCCTCCCTCCCTCCCTCCCTCCCTCCCTCCCTCCCTCCCTCTGTTCTCCCTCTGTCTGAGTGAGGAATTGAACCCAGCACTTCATTCGTGCTAGGCAGGCACTGTCCCCAGCCTCACCTGCAGTCCACTGAAGCAGCAGCTGCTGATTCGGCTGGCAGCCACACAGACTGTTAAGTTTTGGTGCTGTATACCTTCTGACCTGCCTAGGCTGTTTCCCCTTGTACAACCCTGGGTTTCCTTGTATGTAAGTAGACAAAAAAAATTAGAATTATGACATTTAAGCTAGGCATTGGTGGTTCAGCACTCGGGAGGCAGAGGCAGGCGGATCTCTGTGAGTTCGAGGCCAGCCTGGTCTACAGAGAGAGTTCCAGGACAGCCTGGTCTACAGAGCAAGTTCCAGGACAGCCTCCAAAATAATACAGAGAAACTCTGTCTCGAAAAAAACAAACAAACAAAAAAAGAATTATGACACTTAAATGACATAAAAACATTTAGCATGGTCTGAGACACATAGGGAAAAAAATCCCAGACAATGATTTTGCATGTCTCACTATCTTTTTTCTTAAATCATGGTCTGAAAAGTGGTGCCCGGTTGTATATATCATGGCTTTGGAGTGAGTCTCAGATGGGTTTTTTCCCTCAGGGAAATGAATAGAAGTTTCCAGAACTCTACAGTGAGTGGAAACAAGCTATGTGTGGAAGTTATATATTGCAAGAGTCTTTTTATTGTCATCTACCAAGACAAGTTGTTTAATTTTCCTCAATTGTAGACTTTTGGTTTCTGGAGAATGCTGCAGATTACAGTGTCCTATGTTTTCCATTGTAGGAAGTGTGGAGGAGAAATGGTACTTAGAAATCATGGATAAAGGCAGTGTTTCCTGTCCTACCTGCCAGGCAGTAGGGAGGAAGACTATAGAGGGTTTAAAGAAACACATGGAAAACTGCAAACAGGTTAGCTATTTTGTGGCATCTCGTGACTGTTTGATTTTTTTTTTTTAACCTGAACTGCAGGCTTCTGGTACTATGTGCAATCTGTTATAGTTAACTAAGGGGTAAGGGGTAACATTGTATAGTAAACTTTGCATGCACAGGCTTGGGTTTGCATGTTTATTTAATTGTACTACTTGTTTTTTTAATCTGTGTATCTTGGTTTCTTCTCATAGAATGCAGAAGGTATAACAATTGCTTTGATGTGTTTGTTGTTTTTATATCACTGTGACCAGATTCCTGACCTAAACAGTTAAAGGGAGGAGTTTTCTTTGACTCATGGATTGAGAGGGCATAAGCCTATTTATTGGTGGCCAGGAATGTGTGACGGCTGGAGTGACTCATCTGTAGGTGCCAGGAACTTGTGTCAGAGCTTTTCACAGGGCAGATGAATCAGGACAAAAGACAGGAGGGAAGCAGGCTCACTCCTAAGCCACCCTTCTCCAGCCAGACCCCACCTCCTAAGGGTGACACAACCTCCCAAAACAGGGACCAGGTGTTCCACACTTGAGCCTATGGGCACCATCAGATTTAAGCCATAGCATGTGATGAGAAAGAAGTGACATGGGCTGGCCTGGCCCAGCTGATGGCATTCAGTGACCTTCTGATTCTCCCCTGAGCATCCAGCACTGAGCACTGACTTTTCTTCTTGCAGGAAATGTTTACCTGCCATCATTGTGGGAAACAACTTCACTCACTGGCAGGGATGAAGTATCATGTCATGGCCAATCATAATAGCTTGGTAAGCGTTTCCTGTGTTCTTTGTGAGTCTATGTGATGGTCATATATATACACATACATGCATACATGCATGTTTATACACATGCTTGCATGTATACGTATATACATGCATGCATACATGTGTATATATATACACATATATGCACACTTTTTAAACGTCTCTTATTTTAATTTTTTACAATATAAAGTATATGGGGAAAGACAAATCTTTCCACTGCTGGTGGGAATGTAAATCAGTGTAGCCACCATGTAAGTAAATATGGAGGTTCCCTCAAAAAGCCAAGAATAGAACTAGCGTATGAGCCAGTTACAGCATTCCTGTACATATACCCCAAAACTATAAAACACCATACCACAGATGCTTGCACACACGTTTATTATTATGTAATTCATGAACTCTAAGAAATTGATATGGGGCCGGGCGTTGGTGGCTCATTCCTTTAAATCCCAACACTGGGGAGGCAGAGGCAGGCGGATCTCTTGTGAGTTAGAGGCCAGTCTGGTCTACAGAGCGAGTTCCAGGACAGCCTCCAAAACAATATAGAGAAACCCTGCCTCGAAAAAACCAAAGAGAAAAAAAGAAAAAGAAAAAGAAAGAAATTGATATGGGAACCTCCCTCCCTCCTTCCCTCCCTTCCCCCCTTCCCCTCTCTTCTCTCCTCTTCCTTCCTCGGGTAGCCCCCATAGTCCAGTCTTGCTTGGAACTCATAAACTCAGACTGGCCACCAATTTGCAACAATCCGTCTGCCTCAGTTTCCTTATCGGCATGGGCCTGTTTTGGTTGGTGTTTGTTTTACTTTGAGACAGGATCTAATGTACCCCTGGCTGGCCTCAAACTGGTCTTACAGATGTGAACCATCACACCTAGCTGCATGTGAGGATTTAAGATGTTCAGTTAACATGTGAGAATGTCCAATCCATTGATCATCAGGGAAATGAATATTGAAGTCATGGCGAGAAGCAAAGCAAATGTCCCAGCTCTTTGGAAGCCGAGGTGGCAGGGTTGCTAGTACAGACCGCCCCTCTGGCCGCCACATAGTGAGACCTTGTCTCAACCAAGACAGATTTTCTTTTTCTCAGAAAAAGTGCTGGGAATGGTGGACAAAGGCTGGGACACCTGTAGAGCTTGTGGGCAGCTATCTGCCGAAAGGAATGCACTCACAAGCACCCACAGACAACATGATGAGGATGGGGACATTAGCAATAGTGTGGTGCAGCACGGTGCTAGCGGCAGAGGCCCATCTCGAGCAGGTTAGGGCGATGGTGTGTATAAGAGCAGAAATTAGTCAACAAGAAGACCTTCCTGGGATCTACAAAATGGCTTAAAGATTCAGAAGCATCCTGGGCTGAGGAGGCTGGAGAGATGGTCACTGGTTAAGAGTGTGTAGTGCTCTTGCAGAGGACCTGAGTTCTGTTCCCAGCAGCCACACTGGGCAGCTCACAACCACCTTTACTCTGGTTCTTGGAGATCTAACATATCTGACATCCACAGGTCTGGCACTCATGCTCACATATCCCACCCCCCAGATATATACCCATAATCGAAAATAAAATAAGTCACTGGGTGTGGTGGTGCACTCAAGAGGCAGAGACAGGCAGATCTATCAATGTGAGTTTGAGGCCAACCTGGTCTACAAAGCAAGTTCCAGGACAGTCAGGACTACACAGAGGAACGCTGTCTCAAAAAACTGTAAGTAAGTAAACTAATAAATAAGCAAGCAAATAACTAAACTAAATCTTTTTTTTAAGAGACAGGGTTTCTCTGTATTGCTTTGGAGGTTGTCCTGGAACTCGCTCTGTAGACCTCTGTGAGGCTTCGAACTCACAGAGATCCACCTGCCTCTGCCTCTCAAGCGCTGGGATTAAAGGCATGCACCACCAATGCCCAGCCTAAACTACATCTTTAAAAAAAAAGAAAACAAAACAATTACCCTGAACCTGGTTTGTCTGTGTCTGTAATGTCACCTCCATCTTGGTCCCTTGATGTCCAAGTGAGAGATCAGGGATCTCTGGGAGGCTGAGTGGAGTTCTAGGGAGGATGCAGTATCTGGTGGGTGGTTGGGGATATAGAAGACCTAAGGCCAGGCTGCCCCTATGGCAGCTGGAAAGTCCTGAGTGTGGTAGCCCAGGACACAGCAAGGGAAGCTGGCCTCTTGTGTGGTAGGAGTTCTCAGGGGTCGGTAGAGGAGCACACCGTCCCCCGAGTCTTCTCTGCTGTAGACGATCAGCTGTCTGGTGGGAAGACTGACGATGTCTAGCTCCTGTCACTGCATTTGTTGCTGCTACAGCAGCATATATGCAGTCTATTGCCTTAAGAAGTATGCCCACACCTGGTGCTCGGTCAGGTAGCTTGGGAGCCAGCATCTCTCAAGCCTTGTACCAGGGCAGTAGTCCATTCTGAAATAGTTCTGCACTTCATGCTGCTGATTCTTGCTGTAGATCTTGCATGGAGATGGAGCCCAGTAAATCTCTAGCTTCCTCCATCTTGGTTGGCCTTTGTGTATCTTTTGCTCAGTATAGACTGCTCAATGAAGCTAGCTCTGACCCTTGTACCTCATAGAAGAGTGGATAAGACTCTTCAATGCAGGAATTGCATATGATGAACTGTTTGCACTGGACCATAGGCATTTGTGTGTTTAGGTTAATCCTTTACTGGGAGGTAGAGGTGAGAACTCCTGTATCCATTGCATTTACTCCTGCTGCCCAGAAGATGGAGAGAGCCAGAATTTGGACTTAATGGCATCAGTATAGCTCATTCTGCAGCAGAGATCAATATATTGGCGCTTCTGTCTTTTTGTGGGGGATGCTGCTTTGTTTTCCATTCCATAAATCATGTTTGTTCCTTTTTTTTCCAGCCAATTTTGAAGGCAGGAGATGAAGTAGATGAACCAAGCGAGAGGGAGCGGCTGCGAACAGTTCTTAAGAGAATGGGGAAGCTCAGGTGCATGCGCGAGGTAAGAGCCCAGGGCAGCGGCTTCCTGTCCCTGGAGCCTCAGTCTATGTCTTGTGTTGTCTTCTCCCGCTTGTCCTCTTCTTCCCTCCAAATTTCTCCTCTGCCACCTGAGCGCATCAGGTGGCACCTGCTTTTCCAAATCTCTTGTAGTCATTAATGGTTCTTTATTTTTTCTCCTCTCCCTAAGGATTTTCCCCCATCCTCCTCGCTTGAAGGGACTGCTGCTGCTTCTTCCTGTTTCTCTTCCTCCCCCTCCTCCTTATTTACTTTTATTCTGATATGTCTGTGTGAGGGTGTCAGAGCTTGGAATTTTATACAGTTGTGAGCTGCATGTGGGTGCGGTGCTGGGATTTGAACCCAGGTTCTCTGAAAGAGCAGTCAGTGGCCTTAACCACTTAGCCGTCTCTCCAGCCCACTTGAGACTTGTTTACTGTTCTTCCTTTAGCGTGATGAAGAGGAATCTCATGAGCTCATACAATGGTAAACTGGATGTTGCTGCCTAGTTGATACTGGGTGGGCTTGGATTACAGTCCAAGAAGGAAATTCTAACACAGAGGCGGTATGGAGTTAGACTTTCTCAGTGGTCACTGAACTGATTGACCATATAGCTCACAGACAGGATTGCCTAGGAGAAGGAGGGCTGTGCCAATGGGAAATGATGAGCATCCTGTAGTCTCACTATCTTTTTGTGGTTTGTGGTACGTGGTGGTTTCTGAGAAATTTAGGGATCATGTGAAGCATACATGATTCTAACATAGACTTCTTTCCCATGCTCAGAGTTGCTCCAGTACCTTTACCAGCATTATGGGATATCTGTACCATGTTAGAAAATGTGGCAAGGAGGCTGCAGAGCTGGAGAAGTTGACCCTGAAATGTCACCATTGTGGAAAACCATACAGGTCAAAGGCTGGGCTTGCGTATCACATGCGGTCAGAGCACGGGCCTGTGAGTATTGAGTCTTCTCTAGGCATTGAGGATGTATGTGTATGCTGTGCCTGGCACCCCTCCCCCTTGTAGCTTATGTGTGTCCTCGCTTCCTCATCTGTGTCCTGTGCACTCTTTGAAGGCTTCTGTCCTCTCTTCTGTGGAGGAGAGGGGGAGCAGGAGTATGATATTACCAGACAACTTTCAAGAAATTGGGCTCATGGTTGCTGAGGGTTAAGAGTTCATTGTGACAAGGCAGCTAAGAGCTCACATCTTGACCTTCAGAGGAAGGGGGAGAGAGAGAGAGAGAGAAAGAGAGAGAGAGAGAGAGCGCCCACACTAACTGGGAATGGCAACAGTCCTTTGAAATCTCAAAGCCCACCCCTAGTGACACACCTCCTCTAACAAGGCCACGCCTCCTAATCTTCCCAAACAGTTCTATCAACCTGGGACCAAGAATTCAAACATCAGCGCTCATGGGGGCCATTCTCACTCAGACCACCACAGCATGTGTGTGTGTTTGCCTATGTGTAGGCACACATGTATTTGCAGGTACACATACATGTATGTGCACGTGTGTGAAGGTCTGAAGTTGACCTTGAGTGTCTTTCTTGATCACTCTCCATTATTGAGGTAGGTTCTGTTGCTGAATGAACCCAGAGCTCAGCAGTTCTGGAGAGTCTAACTAACTAGCCAGCTTATCCTTGTCTGCCTTCTAAGTACTGGGGTTACCAGTGGGCTGCTGTGCTTACCCAGCTTTTCTGTGCGAGTGAGGGGTGCAAACTCCAGTCCTCATGCTTGCACGGCAAGTACTTTTTGCCCATTGACCATCTCCCTAAACCCTAATTATTAATTTTTTCTAGATTTATTTTATATGCATGAATATTTTCCCTGCTTGTGTGTCTATGCAGAGCACGAGTGCCTAGTACGCATGGAAGTCAAAATAGAATGTCGTATCCCCTGGAACTGGGTTATGGATGGTTATGAGCCACCATGTGATTGCTAGAAATCAAATCCAGGTCCTCTACAAGAGCAACAGATGCTTTTAACTGCTGGGCATTCTCTCCAACCCCCATTACTATATTTTTGTCTATTTGTTTTGAGACAACAGATGCTTTTAACTGCTGGGCATTCTCTCCAACCCCCATTACTATATTTTTGTCTATTTGTTTTGAGACAGGGTTTCTCTGTGGCTTTGTAGGCTGTCCTGGAACTCACTTTGTAGACCAGGCTGGTCTTGAACTCACAGAGATCCACCTGCCTCTGCCTCCCGAATGCTAGGATTAAAGATGTGGGCCACCACCACTCAGGCCATTGCTATGTTTTTAAAACTAAAGCATTCCCTCTTACTTAGATTTCGTCCTTTTTTTTTTTTTTTTTTTGAGACAGGGTTTCTCTGTATTGTTTTGGAGGCTCTCCTGGAACTGTCTCTGTAGACCAGGATGTCCTCGAACTCACAGAGATCTGCCTGCCTCTGCCTCCTGAGTGCTGGGATTAAAGGCATGCTCCACCAATGCCCGGCTGTTCTTCATTTTTTTTGTCTTGACTGTTTTTATAATGCATTTCTATACTTGGGTGTTTGTGCACACATGTGCGTGTACATATTTGTGTATGTACAGTTGCGTGTGTGTGGATGTGAAGGGCAGAGAACAACTTCAGGAGTCATTCCTCAGTAGCTGTCCACTTTTTTTTGTTGAGACAGGGTCTCTCATTGACCTAAGGTTTGTCATTGCTGGCCAGAAAGCCCCAGAGATCCTCCTGTCTCAGCTCCATGATTGGTGTGATTACAAGAGTGTGTCACCACACCTGTCTTTTTAATGTAGGTTTTAGGGGTCACCTTGACAGACTGAGCTGTCTCCACCTGCACCTTACCCTTTGTGTGTGGTGGGGAACATGTATGAGGATGTGTTTGTGTGTGTGTACACATGCGTGTGTAGGTGTTCATGCACATGTGTGACCATGCATGTTGAAGTCAGAGGTCTTCCTCATTTCCCTCATTTTTAAAGATGGAGTCTCTCAGTGACCCTGAGGCTTACCTCTTGACAGACTAGACTGACTGGCCAGTGAACCCGGGAATCTGCCTGTCTTTACCCCGTGTGCTAGTGTCACAGATTTTACCCTGCTGGGAGGCGTGGTGCTCAGTCGCTGGCTGTGACTGAAGTCTTTGTTTTCGTGGCTCTCTCTTGCAGGTCTTCTTCCCAGAATCAGGGCAGCAAGACTGTTTGAAAGACATGGGTCTGGAGACAAAAAGTGGAGGCCGAGTTCAGCGGCGCTCTGCCAAGATAGCTGTGTACCATCTGCAGGAGCTGGCCTCTGCTGAGCTGACCAAGGAATGGCCGAAGAGGAAGGTGCTCCAGGACCTGGTACCAGATGATCGAAAGGTATGGAGACATATCACTGATACTCAGTATTTTGTAGATGTTCCAGTTTGGATTTGTGTGGCGTTCTCTCAAGCTTAGTTGAAGACTATATGGTTTTATAGGAAGGCCCCCCCCCAAGCCATGCTGGACCTTCTCGATGCATCCAGTCAGAAGGTGTGTGGTGCTGATGTGATCAGCAAAAAGTGACTGTGGTGCTAACTGACCAGTTGGCAAGAAATGCCTTCCAGGTGACTCGGTGATGGAATTACCCGGCCCTGATTAGTGCATAGTTAGAGTAGAGACCAAGCATGCGCAAAGATCTTCTGTCTTTTACCGTAGCCATGTTGGTCAGCATTCATTGATAAGCCTTTCCTGCAGTAAGTGTTACTTAGTGACAAACTTTAATTTCTTTCATAACTTTTGTAGTTACTCATTGAAAGTGTACTGTGAGAAAACTTTCTTATCAGCAAAGCCTTCCCTCATAATTCACAAGGAATTGGTTGTTGAAAAAAAACGCTCACAAATGGTGGTGTTCTGTGGACACTCAAGCATCCTATGCTTGCTCCAACACCTTACTCTAAATGGAAGGAATTTGCCTAGAGTCTGTGCACACCTCCTGTATGTGTCAAGTCATTTCTAGATCGTTTAACTGTCTGGTACAAAGTAAGTGGTTTCCTGGTACCTATTGAACCATGTGTGATGGCACACAGAGGGGTTTCTTTTGGGCTTACAGTTGCAGAGGGAAAAGAGTCTATCACAACCATGGCATGGTGGACCAGGGAAACATGGCCACAGGATCACCTGGGAGCTCACAGCTCCAACTGCAAGCAGCAAACAGACAGAGAGAGAGTGCACTGGAAATGATGCATGACTTTTGAAACCTCACAGCCCACCCCTGTGACATACTTCTTCCAATAAGGCCTCCGCCTCCTAAACCTACCCAAACAGTGTCATTACCTAGAAACCCAGTATTCAAACACCTGAGAATATGGGGACATCTCAGACTACTCCTACTATTACACACATTGGATTGTGTGACTATAAGCTATGATACCGTAAATTCCAGCCCAGCATGACCAGTTTCATTCCAGCCTTCCTTCCTACTCATCACTCCTTGTCCAGCGGTGAAAATGTGGTCAAACTGCATAAACATCAGGTTGTCTCAGAGTCATGTGTACATGCCTCTCAAGCGGCAGACGTCCTAATGGAAGGTTGTAGCTGTACCTGGTTGCAGGGTTACCTTCAGCCTTATGTAGCCAGATTACTATTTTCTAAAGGTGGTTTTTCCTTCCCTTTTCCAACCATATTATGTTACTAATTTTGACAGGTTCCTGTCACAGTCATTATATTTTTGGGGCTCCCTGACATACTACTAAATTTAAATTATCTTTTACTTTTTGTATTTACTTTTCTATTGGCATGACAAAATACCACAAGCAAGGTAACTGATAAAAGAAATCATTTTAGGACTGGAGAGATGGCTCAGAAGTTAAGAGCACTGACTGCTCTTCCAGAGGTCCTGAGTTCAATTCCCAGCAACCTCATGGTGGCTCACAACCATCTATAATAAGATCTGGTGCCCTCTTCTGATTGGCATGCAGGCAGAACACTGTATACATAGTAATAAATAAATAAAAAAAAAAAGAAATCATTTTAGTTTGGGATTCAGGACTCCAGAGGGTTAGAGTCCATGACCATCAGGGTAGGGAACATGACAACAGATAGGCATTTATTTGGCTTACATCCATATCTGTAAGTAGAAGGCAGGAGGAAGAGGAGCTAGCAGAAGGGATAGAGCCAGCTAACTAGCTAACTGGGAATGATGTGTGGATTTGAAACCTCAAAGCCCGCCCTCGGTGTCACACCTCCTCCAATACCTCCCCCAACACACCACGCCTCCTAATCCTCCCCAGCAGTTCCCCACTGGGACTAAGTATTCAAAATTAACCCTGGGGACCATTCTCATTTAAACCACTGCAGTGTGTTGCTGTGGCTCTAAAGCAGACTTGTGAACAGTTAGATTTTGAGAAGGGCAGTACTACTTACTGAACTATTCTGTTTACATTTTCCTTTTCTTTTTTTTTTTTTTTTTTTTTTTTTGGTTTTTCGAGACAGGGTTTCTCTGTGGTTTTGGAGGCTGTCCTGGAACTCACTTTGTAGACCAGGCTGGCCTCAAACTCACAGAGATCCGCCTGCCTCTGCCTCCCGAGTGCTGGGATTAAAGGCGTGCGCCACCAACGCCCGGCCTACATTTTCCTTTTCATGCTGTCCTTTTCCCTCCCACTTCAAAAGGTGGCCATCTTGTTAGTTTCTGTTTATCTTTCCTGCATCCTTAACAGATGCAGAATCAGATACTTGTACATTTCGTTAAACTCCCTTCTTTCTTTAGGTTCTTGTTTATTCCCTGGTTTAGTTCGCTTAAAAGTACATCTTGGAGTGTAGATGGTGGTGGCAAATACCTTTAATCCCAGCACTTGGGAAGCAGAGGTGGGTAGATCTCTGAGTTTGAGGCAAGCCTGGTGTACAGAGTGAGTTCCAGGACAGTCAGGGCTACACCGAGAAATTCTTTCTCAGGAATAAATAAATAAACAAGCAAATAAATAAATGAGTATATCCTGGAAATCACTCCAGTGTCTTCATAGAGATCACCCTCATTCTTTTTTTCCACAGTTGCTGTGTATAACTTAAGTCAATAGGACAGTTTAGTTTTTAAAAATAGTACTTTCTTGACTGTCATTCTATAACAAAGGGATTTAGAGGGGCAAATTAAATTAGTTGCTAAGGAGATGTCATGGTGCTAATAACACAAGCTCTTTGGTTGGGGGTCCTCAAGGGCTTTTTTATTTCTCTGGTGTATGCCCTCACCTCTTTTCCTTTTTTAAAATCTAGATGAAATATTACACATGAAAGCCTTGTTATGTGGGGGTGGGGTAATCTAGGAGTAAAAAGTTCGTCAGCAGTCAGACTTTACCGCTCGCTTGTTATTGTGGCCTTCTGAAATATTTCATCTACAGAAGTAGGTGTGACGGGCGGGAGAAGCATTAGCTCTCTAGTTAAGAGCACTTGCTGCTCCTGCAGAAGACCCCAGTATTGTTCCTGACCCACATTTGGGAGCTCACAGCAGTCTGTAACTCCAGCTCCAGGAGATCCAAAGTCGTTCTCTGCAGGCACCATACTCACATACTTACACACAGGCGTGCATGATGCAAATAAAAAAAATTATCCTGGCCAGGCGTTGGTGGCCCATGCCTTTAATCCCAGCACTTGGGAGGCAGAGGCAGGCGGATCTCTGTGAGTTCGAGACCAGCCTGGACTACCAAGCAAGTTCCAGGACAGCCTCCAAAGCCACAGAGAAACCCTATCTCGAAAAACAAAAACAAAACAAAACAAAAAATAATAATAATTATCCCTTTCCTAAAGTAGGTACAAAGCTTTGGGGGTATCTTGGTTGGGAGTTACATTCCTGCAATTCAATATTTCTTGTCTTCTTTTTTGTTTGTTTGGTTTGTTTGTTTGTTTGTTTCTTGTCTTCTAGTTAAAATATACTCGCCCTGGGTTACCTACATTCAGCCAGGAAGTACTGCACAAGTGGAAAACGGATATCAAGAAATATCATCGCATCCAATGTCCTAACCAGGTGATTCTTCCTCTTTTGTTATAGCAGTTTAGTTCCTGATTGCTTCATGACAAAGTACTTAATTGTAGTGAATGTAACAGCTATTTAATTGTTCAGAATTAGGTACCCTCCATAATTCTGCTGTATGCAGCATCATTTGAGATCACTCATGGGGCAGTGAACTGGAATGTCCCATGCAGCTGCACCCAGCTGAGCATGTGGTCCTCCATGTGGTCTTTTTATCTGCAGGACAGCAGGATTACCAGTAGGGTATGTAAGTGACTAGCTTCAGACACAGAAGTAAAAGATTCAAGTCTTCTAGGGTCCCACTGCACAATTTATATGGCATCATTCCCATAGCATCCTATTAGTCAAGGGCATCACATGTCTATTAGTTACTTCTCTGTTGCTGTGACACCATGGGTGGAAGTAGCATACCGAAGGAAGTCTATTTGGGCTCACAATTTTAGAGGAACAAGAGTCCATCTTGGTGGGGAGGGATAGCAGCAAGCGGCAGGTGAAAGTTCACATCCTCAAAAGCAAGCTTGAAGCAGAGAGCAACAGGAAATTGAGTGGGACTCTACATGCTAACACCCCAGCCCAGTGGAGTGCTTCCTCCAGTGAGGCTCCACCTCCCTGAAGTTCCCCAGCCTCCCAAACAGTGTCACCAGGTGGGGACCAAGTATTCATATGGGAGCTGTAGTAGCTTGAACCAGAGTGTCCCCTGCAGGCTCCTAGTTGGTAGACCTGTTTGGGAAGGATTGGGAAATGTGTTGTTGGAGGAGGTGTCACTGGGGACAGGCGGGCTTGGAGGTCTCAAAAGCCCAGGCCAATCCCAGTTAGCTGTGGCTCTGCTTCCAACGTGTGGGTGATGTCAGTCCTCGGTTACTGCTCCAGCAGACCTTGCCCACCTGTTGCTGTCCTTCCTGCCGTGGTGGCTATTTTATGGTCCACCCTCTGAACTTCACTGTAAGCAATTCCCCAACTAAAGCTTTCTGTTTCAAGTTGTCTTAGTCAGTGGTCTCCTCACAGCAGTCAAGTAACTACAACAGAAGTCTGGGGGGAATATTCCTTCATTAAGACCATCACAGTAGGCTATCCCTGACTCAGAAAGTGTGAAAGGGTGCCCTTCTAAATAGTAGAGTGGCAGAGTCTGGCTGCTCTCTTCAAAATTGTCCTTTTGGAAGAAATGAACACAAATATAGTTAATAGAGTTACACCAAATTAAAGAGTGAAAAATAGCACTTTGAAACTTTGGATATCCTGCTAAATGCCAAGAGAACGAGGGAAGGGAAAGGCGCAGACTTCCAGGAGCGTTTCACCTTCTTTGCCGTCTTCTTTTAGGTTTCCTTCTTGCTCTGCCCTCTCTTGTGCTTTTAGTATTTCGTTTGGGGCACTGGCTATTGATCCTCTAGCTTCTAAAGTGGAATTGGCCAGAGAAGGGTTCTGTGTGGTGTAGCACTCACCTGGTGACTTCTCTTTTTCAGGGCTGTGAGGCTGTCTACAGCAGTGTGTCTGGCCTTAAAGCTCACCTGGGCTCTTGTACACTGGTTTGTAACACTTTCATTTACTATCTGGCATGGAAGAGTTTAGGTGAACAGCCAATCATCCTGTTGGCCATTGTATTCAGAGTCTGCCCTTTGGCCTAAGTGTTGTGGACACTCTTGGTCTCACATTGGGTGGAATAGCAGGGTGCATCTAGGATACAGGAAAGTGGACAAAGTCATGCCATGCTCATATAGGGGGTTTAAAGAAAAGTCTATGAATTTGGAATCTCACACACTGGGCCTCCCTTGCCTTAGTTTGACATAACCTTCCTAAAAAGTTGTGTGGACTGGAGAAGAGCCTCCAAACCCGTCTGGACTCCCTTGGCTCTAAGGGGTTAGTGTCAGGCTAACAACCACTCATCTCTCTGGATGTTTCCATGGTGATCCAGGTGTCCTTCCAGCCCTGAGCCATGGGAAATGCTGGCTCTTTCCAGTCCCATTCAGAAGTGTCTTCTCACACAACTGGAGCCCATTGAAGCTATGTGGGAAGCTATGAGGGAAGAGATGTGTCTCAGTCAAGGCACCAAGGGAATTGTTGGCTTCTCAGCCAGATCTGTGTAGCAGTGTGTAGGAGAGTGTTGTCTTGATCCTAGTTTCTGAACCCTTAACCTAGGTACTGTGGGTGGTACTCATCTCATTGGGGATTTCCAAGGCACCGTTTGCCGCTATGGTGCCTCTAGAGAACTTGGGGAGTCGATTATTGGTGGGGAGGAGTCAAGAAAAGCCAAACGTGAAGTGAAAAGGAGCCAAGAAGAAGAAACAGTGGTTTGAAACATGGTGGAAGTAGGGGGGTGCCGGGTTGTGTCGTGGGGTGGTGGGTGTTGGTGCAGGTGGCATCAGGACAGGTGTGTAGTGAGTCTGTCCCAGCTGGTTTTCATAAAATATACCACTACTTTGGACCGTGCCCCATGGTTCTGATTAAGTAGACTCCCCCATTGCGTCTCTCTCAATCCCTGCACAAGGCATGTTTTCCTGAATTTACCATAATTCTCTTCTCTTTCTGTTTTTGAAACAGGGCAACTTTGTGGCTGGAAAATACAAATGTCTTCTGTGTCAGAAAGAGTTTGTGTCAGAGAGTGGTGTCAAGTATCACATCAACTCTGTCCACGCCGAGGTGAGGGCTCCACTTTCCCCTAGGGTCTGTGTAACCCTGTGTGTCCCGTCTGCAAGCTGTAAGAAGTGGACTTTGTCCCTGGCTTCATGTACTAGGACTGGCAAAGAAATTAAGGTTGAGAACTTGCCAGAGTTAAAATGCTCTCTGGAGAGCATTAGAAGAGTGGAAATGTATTTTCTCTGAAGATAATTGAACTCCCTGAGGCTGAGCATCTCTGAGCCCCTGTGACTCTTAGCTGTGAGTAAATGAAGTGGTTGGAAGCCAGGTCGGACTTCGTGTTTGACCTTGTTTCACAGAGTTTTCTACTGATAAAAATCCAGATTCTCTAATGTTTTCCAATAATCTGGGGCTTTTATTATTTTTAATTCTGTGCACATGGTTGTTTTACTTTCTGTTATGTCTGTATCATGTATTGCCTGGTGCCCTCAGTGGCCAGAAGAGGGCTGCAGCTGCCCTGGAACTAGAGTTCCAGATGGTTGTGACCTACCCTGTGGGTACTGGGTCCTCTGCAAGAGCAGCCAGTGCTCCTAACCACTGAGGTATCACTCCAGCCCACCAACAACTAGTTTTTGATGCTAGTGTGTGTGGGGGGGGGAGGTGGGTGTGGGGGGCGTGGGGGGTGTAATTGCATAACACAACTCTGAATCAAAGATGCATTCATCTCGGCCCTATTGGGTCCTGCTTGAAAAAAAGAAATAAATAGTAGCAAGGTGTTTGACATGTTCTGCTACCAAGTCTTTGTGTGTGTTTTTCACCAGTTTGGACTTCCCCTGTTTCAAGGGCTCATTGAGCATAGGTGGCCAGTGACTATCACCTTTTGTCATGTAGTTGGGGGGTTCACCTTGCACATTTGGGACTTGTCCTGTGGTAGTGCTTCCTCTATCGTAGCTATTTCCAGTGACTTGATAGTCCCACCTGAGAGACTTAATTGAATTACTTAGTTAGATTAAGGCTTTTGAATTTCCAGAAGAATATTTTATAACAAATTTCCTCTACCCCATAATTTTCTAAATGAGGCTCAAAGAGATCAAGTGGCTCACAGGAAGCCAAAGGAAATGAGAATTGCACTCAGGGGTCTGATGGGAAATTCATGCTCCTGTCGCTCTACTGTCATGATTGAGCATGTGCTTCCAGCCCAAGGTATTACACAGAAGGAGGTGACAGGTGATGTAATGCCGAGTAAATGCACTTTATGGTTACAACCTTTTTCTTTTACTGTGTAAAATTGTGTATCCGCAAATGTCAGATCCCCTGGAACTGTAGTAACAGGAGACTGTGGATGCCCAGTGTTAGCATGAAGTGCCTCCTGTCCCTTTGTTTTATCCTTCGTGGTGTTTGTAAGTGGTCCCATCTCTGCTCTGCCTCTCGCAGGACTGGTTCGTTGTAAACCCAACAACCACCAAAAGCTTCGAGAAGCTGATGAAGATAAAGCAGCGACAGCAGGAGGAAGAGAAGCAGAGGCAGCAGCACGGAAGCCGGCGCTCTCTGAGAAGACAGCAGCAGCCTCGCCCTGAGCCCCCAGAGAGCCAGCTGGAGCCCAGGGCAGGGAAGGGGCAGGGCGGGAGTGAGGAGCTGGTGGTGTCAAATGTATGTAAGGGGTCAGAGCAGGAGCCAGTGCCAGCACAGTCCCAGAAAGCAGAGCCCACCAAGACCACTCACAAACGAGGGAGGAAGTAGGCAGCCATTGACCATGCGCCTAGGAGAGTGGATGTGATGCTGTTGTCATGGGGACATGTGCAGGGGAGGCCTGAGGCTGGGGGAAGATGCTTTCAGCTGTTGCTGTTGGCTGTGGCTCTCAGCTCCTCTGTGTACATTTCACGGTCTTCCTGACTCCACTTTCTCCTCCCTGCCTTAGTTGGTTCATATTCCCATTAGAGCCCTTTTGCTTTTCTGTTGTCCAAAGAGCTCCCCTGGGAAAGCAACTGCAGGCCCCTGGGTGCTGCACAAGTTTAATAAACCTTTGGCCGGCCTTTTTGTTCTTTCCTGTCTGGGTTATGAATGTTCTTGGAATCTTTGTTGATTTAGTGGCTTCTCCATCATCTAGCTTACAAAATAGTTCCTAATTTTTTAAAAAAGCCTTAACAGGCTTTATCCTTCTGCATTTGTGATATAAGAGGACTAGAAAGGAGAACTGCCGCTTTTGTTAGTGTCACCCTGAACCCCAGGAAGTAGAATCCAGTGGAGGATGCTTATCTGTAATTTGGTTTTACTGTTGAGAGGAAGAAAATGATTGAGCATGAAAAAGCTCGCTACTCTTGGAGCAGGGACTAACAACCCACAGGCTTGAAAATACAGCCTCAGGGTGTGTGTCCCGAATACTAAGCTGAGAGGGCAGAAGGGCAGTGGTAGGAGTCGCTGCCCCCCTCTCCTGGGTTGCCAGGGTCAGTGCCCCAGCTTGAGTTCACACCTCAGTTCTAGGGGTTGGGAGGTGACTCAGTCCCTGGCCTCTGGAAATGCCACTGGGGTTGCAAAACAAGGTGAGCTTTCCCTCTCCCCTGCACTTACCTCACATGTTAGGCCACACCCACTTAAGTCCCCCCCCCCCCAGGGCATTAGCCCACCTCTGTCCCTGGATGTTCTGAGACTACTGTCCTACTGTTTTGTACATGGAGTTTTATCTGCTTTATATTGTGAGCTTTTGACACCAGATGTAGATATTTCTCTGGAGCTGGAAAGAATGGTCTCTCTCTGTACCTCATGCCTGTCTGGTGGTGTTCAGTGGGCTCTCTCCCTGTGAGGGTGGATATCTTTGGAACGTGGGTTAGAGTAAGTAGCCTTGTTGTCGTGTTTCTGGTTTCTCTTTCTCCTTCTGTGTAAATATTGTTCTATATTCCTGCCTATTGTATGGCATATGCCACTGACAAAGTTAACCTTGATATGGACAAATACTACCTTTTCAAACCCGAAAAGGCTATTTGCCACCCTGAAGTCTCTGTTCTCTGTGCTCCTCTAAATAGCTTTATCATGTGTGCTTTGTGAAGATCACTTTTCAATAATGGGGCATTAAAACGCGAATCGGGCACTGCCAGAAGGGGTCGTGTGGAAACAACTCATGGAAATGATGTGTTTGTGCTGTTTTATTCCTATGTATACCCTTGAAGCCCCTGTAGTAGATGAGGGTTGAGGAGGAGAAATGAGAAGCTGTGCTAAGTTCTGACAAGGACTTGGATACTATTTGGTAACAGCAAATAAAATGACTCCCTTGGAAAGGGTGTGGTTGTGTTCGCTGCTGCTTTGCTGTTGGACTCCTCACTGACACCACACGGATTCAGAAGATGGCTGAGAACTGGGGGTGGGGGGTGGGGGACATTCCAAGTCATTTCTAATTCCTTGATTCCCGCAATCTTCTGGTCACAATGACTGCAGCCAAAGAGAGCTGGTGCAGGGGGCATGACCTGTGTCCTGTGACCTTTTCTTTTTCCTTCCCAAGGCTAGGAAGCAACAAGACTGGTATAGCCTGGCCTAAGCACTATATTCAGATTTTAAAATTCATTGAAAGAGGTAAACTAAACTCAAAGGCTTCACTTCTAATAAATCACACTGGAGAGAAACTGTATAAATGTGGCAAAACCTTAAGTTCCTATTTAACTCTTATTATTCATACTAGAGAGAAATTGTATAGTAAAGGTTGTGGAAAAGCCTTAAAACAAATCCAGTCCCCTAACCTCTAGTTCTTGTGAACAAAACTCCCAAGACAACCCTCCTCTTGGACTTAGTAAGTACCTGGATATTGTGTTTAACAACAAACCACCTCCAGGAGACAGAGAAACAGGATGTTCCCTCCCAACATCAACCAATGAGAACAGGCTACCTGCAAGTAGCAGACAAAGCCATAGAACACACCAATGCTCCCATCATAGCCAACCAATCAAAAACGCTAACAAACCAGTTGCCCCGACTCTGGGAAATTCCTCTAATTGTTCCCCAGATGTCAACCAATCAGGATCCAGCCCATACTTACTGATGTAACTCTGTGATTTTTTTTTCCTTTTAAATTCTGGCAATAGACAAGGGACTTCGCTCCCTATGGAGGCTGCTGCGTCAGCCTGCTAGACAGAGTCCCTACTGGTAGTATTAAACAATAAAGCCTTGCATTTGCAGTTTGATGAGTTTGTCTCCTTGGTAGTCTCTGGGAGTCTTCCAGACTTGGGCACAACATCATTAGAATAATATAAACAAGAGTGGCAGTATTGGTACATATAGAATGTTGAACAATGTGAACTTGTGTGTTTGTGTCTGTGTGTCTGTGTGTGTGTGATTGAAATTGGTACAATTACTTTGAAAATGATTTGCTAATACCTAATACCGGGTAAAGCTGAAAATGTACCAGAAGAATAAGATTCAGTGTGTGTACAGAGGGACTCCTCTTGCCCATGTGTGTAGGAGAGTTGTGTGAGAATGTCGAGATGTGTGAGAGCGAGGTTACAATTCAGAGGTGCCTGGCGTGTCCATTGGGGACTACCACCTGTCCACCAAAATCTGTCCTCATCTAAAACCACAGGCTAGTAGGGCACATGGTTAGACTGCCTTACTTGTTGCCTTTTCTGTCCTCCATGTGGTAAATGAGCAGTCAGCTAATGTCTCTGCTGGATCTGTGGAAGTGATGTGTGCGCTTTGGAGACAGTGACTGTAAGTGAGGAATATAACTCTGTGATTAATGGGTGACTAGCATACACATGGACCTGTGTTTGGTCCCTGCCCTTGGGGAGAAAGTTCTCATCTAGATTCACTCCTCTTTGCTTTCAGGTGCCAGGATTCAAGCTTTTCTGGTCTGCCACGCCCTGCATGTCTGATAGACCAGTGTCTTTAAAGGTGTGATTAGATAAACTCCTCTTTAAAGAGAGATCGTGTACCATGCACTTCTTTCTAGTTTTGCCTGTTGGATGCAGTTGAGGCAGTGCCTCACAGGATAGAAGTGTGTAAAATGGAAGGCGGTGGACTCTGGGTCAGCCCCTGAAGGGGGGCTTTCGCCAAGCAAGAACATCTGAGACTATTAAAACCTACTCTGATACATTATCTTTTCCATCTGGATGGGTAAAGTGTGATGGTCACAGAGTAGGATACTAGCCTAGTTTGGTTCCTGTTGCTGTAATAAACACCTTAAGCAAAAGTAACGTGGGGAGGAAAAGGTTTATTTTTTTCTACAGCTTCTAGTCCTTCATGGAGGGAAGCCAGGACAGGCGCTCAAGGCAGGAACCTGGAGGCAGAAATAAGCAAGAGGCCGTGGAGGAGTGCTAGTTCGTTTGTTGTGGTTTGCTCAGTTTGGTTTTTAATGTAATCCAGGAACCACTATAGGCCAGCCTGTTGGAGACATTTTCTCAGTTGAGGTTCCCTCTTCCCTGATGGTCCTAGCTTGTGTCAAGTTGGCAAAAACCTAACCAGCACACACACACACACACACACACACACACACACACACACACACATTACAAAGTCACCATCAGACCTACATGCAGAACACCCAGGAAATAAATCATCACAAAAATTTTGTATATAACTCAGAATTTCTTTTAACAGCAAGTGACATTTTTTTTAAAGATTTATTTATTTATTACACATACAGTGTTTTTCCAGAAGAGGGCACCAGATAGAATTGTAGATGGTTGTGAGCCACCATGTGGTTTGCTGGGAATTGAACTCAGGACCTCTGGAAGAGCAATCAGTGCTCTTAACCTCTGAGCCATCTCTCCAGCCCAGCAAGTGACATTTCTAATCCTATTAAAAGAAATGGATGGATGAGTAGTGGTGGTAGCCTTTAATCCCAGCACTTGGGAGGCAGAGGCAGGCAGGTCTCTGTGGGTTTGAGACCAGTCTGGTCTACAGCTCGAGTCAAAGCAATGTAGAGAAACCCTGTCTTGAAACTCCCCTCCCCCAAAAAAAGAGACATGGATGCTGGACTTGGTAACCCATATAATATAGATAATATAGATTGGTTAAGTGCATGTGTGTTCAAGCGCCAGAGTGAACGTATGGGAGTCACACGACAATTTATGGGAGTTAGTTCTCACCCTCCACCATGCTGATTCTAGTGATTAAGATTCAAGAACACTTCCCAGGGCCTTAGTGATGATTGTCCCAAAGCTGACCAGGTGACTTCAGACTGTCTGGGTATGCCAGCATGACATATTTGACTCAAGAAAACCACTAAGGAAGTGTTATACTTGTGCAGTGGTGAAAGACAGTCCATCAAGAGAGAATGCTAAATGCCAATCCAAGACTGCAATAACTTCCACATACTCCAGTTCCCATATATGTTTTCTAAAGTCACCACGTGGCTTCTGGGAGCTGAACCCAGGTCCTCTGCAAGAGCAGCAAATGCTTTTTGCCACTGAGCCATCATCCCCCCAACCTTTCATTCACTTGGTGTTTTGAGACAGGGTCCCATGTATCCTAGGCTGGTCTTTGACTCACTGTGTAGAAGAAGATGCCCTTGAACTGCTTGTCCTCCTGCTTCGACCTCCAGAGTGCTGAGTTTACAGGTGAGTGATACCACACCGAGCTCTGACTGACTGGTGCTGGAGATTGAACTCAGGGTCTTTACACACCAGGTAAGCACTTTGACAAGTTACATCTCAGCCCCTCTCATTCACTTAATTCCTATTTTCAAATTATAGTGTGTGTGTGTGTGTCCCAGGGCTGAGTGGGATAGAGAGTGTCGACCATCTAGGAGAGAACCACACTGAGTTGGGAGACTTGTCCAAGCAGGGTCTTATTGTAACAGGATTTTATTGTAGCAGGCATGTGCTTACATGGCGTTGAGAAAGTGGGTGGGGCCTCAGGATGGGGTGAGGTGTAAGGGCCTGTCACGTCTGCTGCGTGGCCTGTGTCCGAGAACGTGCGGAGGGTGTCGGGGATTGACAACACAGAGACTCGTTCAACGATATAAAGAGAACTTTAAACAGGCTCCAAAAAGGTTCAAGAAAAACTTCCTAAGAAAAGCTCCCACCAGAGAAGCTTCTGCTCTCTCCTCTACCCTGGCTGGTTCTGCCCTCACACCAGAGGTGGATGTGTGTGGGTTTTTGAAGGTGCGGTTAGTCTTTGGACAAGGTCGAGGTCAGGGCGGTTTCTGTGGGAAGGCCTTTCCCAGGAACTTATTGTATCATTTTTAGTAAACATGTTTTTACTAAACATTGTCTTACAGCTGCCTACTCCCAGGCAGAAGGGGAAGTGGCCAGGAACTTATTGTATCGTTTTTAGTAAACATGTTTTTACTAAACATTGTCTTACAGCTGCCTACTCCCAGGCAGAAGGGGAAGTGGGTCTCTGCTCAAGGTCTGGTGTTCCCACAAGGGCCAATCATATTCCACCACGTTAGCAGCAGCTGGGCAGGGCAGTTCCAGAGCAGGCTATGCTGAGTCCCTCACATGCAGAAGTCGCTGGCCAGAGACAGGTCGTTAAACTCAAACCAAGCTCAGGAAGTTGCACTGAGCTTACTAGGTCTTGGGCTTGGGTCTTTTAAGGCCCAACGTGTGTTTGCACCGGTTCCCGTGCCCTTTTGTGGTCTCCACCGGCAAAGCTTATGTATTGGCAAGCAGGTGCACACGCACACACATAAGTGAAACTAACCCTTCAGAGAGTGGGTGAGAAAGGGGGAAAGTGTGTACAGGTGAAGCAGTAAGAGACCATGGGTGCAGATTTGCGGTCGAGCTATTTATTACCTGTATGGCCAATCAGTCCCCAGACAGCTGACCGTGCCTCTGAGTCTGCACTCATTCCTTCTCCCTGAATACCCATGTGCTACACCATGCTCCACTTCCAACCCTCAGCTCAAAAGCTTGCTTGATTACCCGCCAATCAGCCCCTCCCTAACTCTTGTCACCTCCTCCCCTGCTTCCTGTATGAGTATAGGTGTTTCTTCTAGCTCTGTAGACCAGGCTGGCCTCTGCTCCCCCAGTGCTGGGATTAAAGGCGTGCGCCACCACTGTCCAGTGCTTCCCACTATTTCATTAGAACATTAATTTCATAACAAGAGGACAAGAGGATCCTCGCTGACGTCAGTTTCGCTCTCTGTTCACTCCCAGGGCATGGTAGCTCCCGCTCCAGCAATTCTTCACTGCTGACGTATGATAGCTTGCTCAGTGTTCAAGGCAAGAGTTAGTTACACTTTTTATTTTAAAAGACTTGTTTATTATGTATACAGTGGTATGCCTGCATGTCAGAAGAGAGCACCAGATCTCATTACAGATGGTTGTGAGCAGCCATGTGGTTG